TAGGAGCACAGGGTTTGTTTAATGGCAAACTCTGGCCCGGCTCAAAGGTTAGATGTAAAACAGTCGGTCAGGATGGATGGCGCTGAGCTGCACTGGCTCGGAGTCCTGGGGAGTGGGAAAGACCACCTACCCCAGACTCTTCGGACGTCGAGAGTGCCTAACTGCTATGTACGCTTTTATGTTAGGAAGTTCCATTGATTCCTGGAGCTGCGTCCTCAGTGGTCCTGGGCAGCCAGGATGCCTCGCGACTCTCAACTTAAGCATCTGAAAGAGGCCGTTTTATTTTGGGAGAAACTCTGTGTCACCTCTGTTGGAAAAAGAGGTGCATTTGAGGCCTTGGCAAGAGGCTCTGTTTCCTAAATCTGTAAAATAAATGAAGTTCTTTGGGGACATTGACTCTTCCATAACCTCTCTTGATGCGTTTGGAACGTATTTACTATGACAGAGAGCCAATTCGGAAGTGAGGCTCGGAGAATTTTCTTTCCTGAGCTCCTGGAACACAGTATGGTCGGTGATACTCATGCGTGGTGATGACTCAGTGGCAGGAAGTGACACTGGATGTGACTTGGGCTAAAACAGCACTTGAGGGGAGAGAGGAGCCCGGAGGCCTGGGGGCCTTCGCAGTGTCCTCGGTGTCTTGACTACAGACGGTTGTCCCGCTTCCTTTGGAGCCTGGTCCAGACCCTGCCAGCGAAATGAAGGCCCCCTGCAAGCATCCCTTTGGTTTCTGGCTCCAAAGTTACTGCTCCATTTCCGTTTCTGTTAGACTCAGGCAGACTGCACAAATGGTATCGTGAAAGTTTTGGTATCGTGAATAGTGAGTCAGTGAATCATAGTGGGAGGGGTACCGTACGTGACATTAGACTGGGCTCCAGTTTCAGATTTTCTGCTAGTATCTGCACGACTCCGACTGTCACTTAACCTTTTCAAGCCTCGTGATGTCATCCCTATAAAGGGGGATGACAGTAGGTGATAATGAAACCGTGACAGCATTCGCTGGGCACTCACTATATGCCAGACACCGCTGCATGTGGGTTCACTCTCATCAGTCCCTACGGTGTAGATGTGACCGCTACCCACTGTACAGATGGGTGAAGTTCACGGAGATTGTGTCCACGGGGAGGAAGCGGTGGAGCTGGGGTGAGAATCCAAGTCCTTCTGAGCCTGATGCTGCGCTCTCAGCCGCGGTGCTAAATGTTGCCCGTAATAAACTGAAAATCCCGACGGTAGTGTACAGGATCATCAGGTACTAGGTTCTCCTTGATAGAAGGTGATTCCTCCACGTCACCCCTTTCAGCTTCCTTCGGTCTCCCGCAGAATCTGGGACGTCTCTCCCAATCCGGCTAAATGAGAATTCTGCGGGCTGCCGCTTTCTCCCTGCATTTCCAAGTAGCAAAGGGCGGTGAGTCCGACCAGGGTGTAACACGTGATATTCCCGAGGGGACCCCGAGGAAGGAGCTCCAAGGGGAGGGTCCTTGAGGTATCGAGTGACACAAAAGTACCACTGCTAAAGTAGATTACGGTCATGGCACCTATATTTCCAGTGACAAAGTAACGCATGCGAGCTTAGAAATGGAAAATTTAGAGAACAGAATGAGCAAAAAATTAAAATCACCCATATTCCCTTCACTTGGTAATGCCCAGTAGACATTTTGCTAAATACCAGTATTTCTTCAACATGACGGTATCATGCATATTATCTGAGCGGACGTAACTGTTTGCATTGGGGGTGGAGGGCGGGCGGGCAGCACCGCGAGAGACAGGGCAGGGGCAGACTGCTCTACCGAAGTTCGATTTTTTACACCTTTTGTTTTTCTCTCCTGCCTTCCATCTTTCCCACTTCATAGCTCTTCTTCTCTTTTCTTCACCTAATAACTGTATTCATTTTTTAAAGTCAAAGAGTATAGTTTATTAATAGACAACAACGAATCAGCAAGGCCCACCAGACAAAAGAAAGCAGACGTTAGCTGATTAGACAATTGCACCATCCCAGTGGCAACCAGTTTATGGAACTTGCTACCTCCCAGGCCCAGGCCTTTCTCTTGAGTACCTGTAAGGTTTACACAGGACGGTTGCTGTAACCCAGTGCCCAGCACTAGAACTGTGTGGTGCTGGTCAAAGCAAGACCCGGCAAGACAGTGGGGATGCCCTAGCGCCCCGTGCCACCACTGCTGGAATGTCACTGTCGGCGGCAGCTCCGTGTAACACACTGCGAGCACGGTCACAGTACAGGGCATGAGATGAAGAGGACGTCTCAGCTGGCTTCTGGCCAGTGCAGGTCTGATGCATTTCTTTGACACCTGAATAATCTGATCACGCCCTTTATAGAGGTGAAATAAACCCCATCCTTGCCAATGACCACTTTGTATCAGTGTTCCCCAACATTGAGAAGTTGTTTATTTTTTTTAAAGATTTTATTTATTTATTTTTAGAGAGGGAAGGGAGGGAGGGAGAAAGAGAGAGACAGAGAGAAACATCAATGTGCAGTTGCTGAGGGTCATGGCCTGCAACCCAGGCATGTACCCTGACTGGGAATCGAACCTGTGACACTTTGGTTCGCAGCCTGCGCTCAATCCACTGAGCTATGCCAGCCAGGGCTGAGAAGTTGTTTATTTTTTTTAAAGGCTTTATTTAGACAGAGGGGAAGCGAGAGAGAAAGAGAGGGAGAGAAACATCAGTGTGTGGTTGCCTCTCTTGCACCCCCTACTGGGAGCCTGGCCCACAACCCAGGCAGGCGCCCTGACTGGGAATCCAATGGGTGACCCTTTGGTTGGCAGGCCCGAGCTCAATCCACTGAGCCACACCAGCCAGGACTGTTTATTATTTTTTTTTAAAAAAACAGCAAGTCTGAACAAACTACTCATGCTGCTGAGAAGAAACAGTCTAAAATTAGCTGTTGTTGTTTTTTGTCATCAGGTAATTTGAGCAAGGCCACCCTCTTGTACTCATGATGGAACATTACTTAGGAAGAAAACTAGACGGGTTTTTCCTGTTAATCAGTGGTGACTTCTCCGTTTCTGAGAGATGAGGGGGAGGAGGGCTGTGGCTAAACCTTGAAAGGCTAAGTCATTCGTGATTGGAGAACATGGCTGTGGAGAAGGAAGATATTCCGGAGAACAAGGGGAGTGAGGGATAGACAGTTCCCCTCCGGGTAGGGCTGCCGGATTTAGTGCATGGAAACACGGGACCCGTGAAATCTTTGGGACATACTTACACCAAAGCAACCATTTGTTGTCTATCTAGCTGAAATTTACATATAGCTGGGTCACCTCAATTGTGTCCGGCAACTGTCCCTCTGGGCAGCGAATCAAATCAGTGAACCAGTAGAAACATGAACAAATGCTTAACAGTTCTCTAGTCAATAAAGATGGTTTAAAATTTAATATATTTAAAATTTTCTGCTAGGTGGATATGTGAGATTTGTCCAGCCTGTCCTCTATTGATGAGATTTTAGTTTTATTTCCTGTTTTTTTCATCATTAAAAACAGGGCTGACACTAACATTAAAAATATACTTATGCACGGATAGGTTTCAGTTCTATGAGCAGAGAGTTCACACAGTAAGGTCACTGGGTCAGAGAACATGTACATTTTAAATGTTGATAGATATTACACAATCACTTTCCAAAAAGGTTGTAGCAATCTGTACTCTTCTCCTTCCTTTGTCTGTGCACCCAGCAACAGGCGGGGGAGGTGGGCTCCTTGCATCTTCATTAGCACTGATTGTTTTTAACTTTTGTCAGACTAATGAATGGCAAACTGCTATTTCATCTTCATTCACATTTTTCTAAGCACCCATGAAGTTAAATCTAGTTTTATTGATCTATTCGCCTCTTGGAAATTCATTCTTTTGAATGGCCTATTCATGTTGTATGCCCATTTTCCTATTGATTTATCTTTCTCCAATTCATTTTTAGGTGCTCCATGTGTAGGAATTACATTACCTTGTCTTCAGCTGAAATTGTTTTTTCTTCTCAGGCTATTATTTGCCTTTTGACTTTGTTTAGGCTGTTTCTTTTGCCATGTGAAATTTTTCAAATTTTATATAGCCAAATATTTCATTTTCTTTTTCTTTTTAAAATTTTTTTTTACTGTGAAAGAAATATATCTCCATGGTAAAAACTAAAATGACACAATGAAGTGCAGAATGGAAAGGAAGGGTCCTCTTTCCCATTCTTGGCATTCTCAAGCTGCTTCCCCGAATCTCAGCATCGATAATGTTCTCTTTTTGTACCCATTTGGCATTTCCTGTGGGGATGTCAGCATCCCTCTCCCTCTGTCTGAAATGGCTAACATTTACTGCGTACCTGCTTCATGCTAGGAACTGTCCTACGGGAAATTCCTGCCTATGGAGCTAACATTTCAAAAGTAGAAAAAGATAAGAGATACATAAACCAATAGATAAGCAAAAAAAAAAGTTCAGATCATGATAAATTCTGTAAATAAAAGAAAGCTAAGCCCTGCCTGGCATAGCTCAGTGGATTGAGTGCAGGCTGCGAACCAAAGTGTCGCAGGTTCGATTCCCAGTCAGAGCACATGCCTGGGTTGCAGGCCATGACCCCCAGCAACTGCACATTGATGTTTCTCTCTCTCTCTTTCTCCCTCCCTTCCCTCTCTAAAAATAAATAAATAAAATCTTTAAAAAATATATAAAAAAAGAAAAACACAACCCAGTTTAAAAAAAATAAAAAAAAAAAAGAAGGCAAGCTGTGTTAGGGCACAGGCCGTAATGGTGAGGAGGACCCTGTTTACGTGGGGAGGTGGAGTGCCTGCTGCTGCTTTGCACATACAGAAGCTCCCGTGGCGGTGGAGGGGGTCTGTTTGCTCCCCGGGCATCTCTTTGTTGTGGCTTGGCCGTCTCAGCCTGGGTTCTGGGAAACGGGGCAATGCAGAAGTGAAAGAGATTCCGTGCCCCACGTGTCCGCCGAAGACAAACGAAGCACATCGCCTCTGTGGAGGAGAAAGGAGAAGTGCAAGACTGCAGTGGGGTTCGGCAGTTAATCTCCGGGTTCCTGCTGGTCGTTCGGCTCCTGGGCCGAGCTCTTTGGCGGCTTGCGGAGAGCTGGTTTGCTGACCCAAACAGACGGACAGACAGATGACTTATGGGAAGCTCCTGAGTCACGCCTGCTCCCATAGCCAGCTGCCTTCTCCCTGCTCTGAGGAAGCGCAACTACATCCTTGTGGCAGGAAGTCCTCACAAGGGCCTGTCTACACAGCACATTCCTGCAGGAACGGGCCGTGGAAGCGTGTTATGTCAGGATTCCTCGGCGCCTCTGACGGACCCCTTTGGGTAGTCAAGGTTCTCGTGTACTTTCTTAATTCCTGTAATTGGGTGAGCGAAACGACAAACCATCTGGGGCTCTTGGGGTAGTGCTCCGCATGTTTAAGCGGTCAGAAACCCTGATGTAGGTGAAGGAGGACTTGGAATCACCTTGATGCTCAGCCCTTGGTAAGCGCCCCATTTATTTCAGCGCGTTCTGTAGGTCTTGGCACGGGGAAGCCCAGTCTGAAAAACACATTACTAGACCGTCCGCTGGAGGCAGGTCTCTGCTGTAGGTTCTCAGCTGTGCTGGTACAGGATCCATGCGGGACAATTGTGGGAGGAAGTCGGGGAAATGTGGAATCGGCAAGAGAAACAGAGAAACCACATCAGAAAACAGACGACATGGCTCTTGTCCTTTTAGGAACAATTACAAAATGAGCTGAAGTCCTTTTCAAGCAGACCTAAGTGGGAATGTATACAGTGCCAGCTGTGGGCGTAGGCATTTGAAAGAGTGCTTCGCTGTAGGCTGTGGGATAAGGTGCTGAGTCAGGATTGGTCTGGGAAGTCATCCTAAAACGGTGAAGAAGTGGAGGCAGGTATTTCTATTATGACGGTGGCCTGTGTGGGCAGGAGAGAGTGTGCATGAAGTGACCATTGGTTATTGGTGAGGACACCAGGCTGGGGAAGGCAGGACAATTTTCCAGCGAGAGTGATGATAAGTGGTATTGCCTTAAACCTCCATTTGGTCCTGTTCGAAGTTACCTTCAAGGCAAAGCTATTGGTCTGCTTCCCCTCATGTGTTCAGTTTGCCTGAGGTGTTGCATCGAAGTAATGATAACCAGCAGTCGTCGGGGACTTACTGTGCCTGAGTGCCGGGAGGGGCTCATCTCATTTGATCTCCAGGGCAACACTGAGTGTCGCTACCTGTCATCATCATCACCATTTCACAGATAAAGCATGTGTTAGTCAGGATGAGTTAGGTTATGATATGTAACAAGCAACCCTCAAATCCCAGTGGCTTAAAAGGTACATGCTACCATGGATGGCTAGCAGAGGGGGCTCAGCTCATGGAAGTCATACAGAGGCACAGGCTGACAAGGGTTCCATCTAGAAACACGTTTCTAGGATCTCTGGGGTGGGGGGGCGGCGAGAAAGAGAGAGAGAGAATCTGGTGACCTGGCTGTTAGTTCTTGTTTGAAGGCGATGCCTGCCATTTCAGCTAGCCTTTATAGGACAAAGCAAGTCATGTGCCCATGTCTCACTTCAAAAGGAGGAGGGGAGGGAAGGTCTAGCATGTAACTGGGGGGAGAGAAGAATAATACTGTCTGTGAACAGCTGTGACAACTTCCAGCAAGGGGCCTAAGGGTCAAAGAGGACACTGTTGGTAGACAGACTGTAGTGAGAAGTGAGATTCCTTCTTAACCTTCCGCTCCCTGTTTCTAGGCTGTGGTGACTAGAACAGAACCTTTGAAAACATGATTTCATAGTGGATCTCTCGCCAAGTGAGAAAGAAAAGAGATAGAACGCTGGAACTGTATTCAAAGACTCATTGGTCAGAAATGCTGTGGACTTACTGTCCTTTTTGGAGGAGAGTTAGAGGATGTTGGAAAGCAGTCATTGAAAAATAACAGATTGTGCCACAGTTGGCCTCCTTTGATCCTTAAGATGTTTAAAAAATTGAGATGATGATTCTGCTGCTTGCTTCTTTGGGTCATCTTGGTGCCCGCATCTCAGTTGCCTGATCCTGGCATCCGTGGCTGAGTCTAGGATGGAGGAGAATGAACAAAGGGAGGGAGAAAAAGGCTCACAGAGAGAAGTCAGCGCTTGGGAAAAAAAAAGGACGGAGGGTGTGAAGCAAGGGGGTGAGCTAGAGGGCTCAAGAGAGAATACGAAATGAGTAGGCCCACCCGCATTTCTATTTTCTATTCCAAGACAATCACATTTCTGGGACAGAAGATCAAAAACAAAAACATCCTCTATAAAAAAGCTGTTAAATTGGTGGGCCCGGCCAAGAATCTGAGCACTGCTGTGCTCTAACCCCGCCTTGTTGGGGTTGGCAGACCCTCGTCTGGAGCAGATCTGCCGAGAGACTGGAGCGTCAGGGGCCCGGGAAAGCCAATCTAAGAATTCTGTCCTGGCTTCTGCTTTCCGAGTGCGGCACACAGAGGCTCCCATGGTGTTTCTGTGGCCCTCGGATTCCCTGGTGTCCAGCATGGCTTCAAAAATAGCATTTTGCTTTTTAATCGCCAAGGGTGAAGAACGATTTTCTGTTCCAAGAATTGAGAATTTGTTATAAATGCGAATTTGGAGTAGGGTCCCTTCCAAACATGATATTAAAGCCTAAATTTTAAGGCCAGATCTATACTCTATGGGTGTTAACTGCTAGATTTTGTGAGCAAAGTAAAAATAAATTAATTAGTTAAAACAAAAAAGGAACTTGCTATTTGGTATGGTACACCAAATAGTCAGATTTATTTATTTGTTTCATTTCACTTTTTTTGGCATTGTATTACATAGATATGGTCACAATGATCATATTCTCACATGTATAAATTTTAAGTTTAAAAATAAAATTTTTAAGTACTTAAAGTGAGTTTAATTTAAATTTAAATTAGTTGTGATTAATGCTGCAAATAATATGGGAGAATATGAAATAAAAAGTTAGAATACACTTTCCATTGAATCCCAGCCCTCAGACATAATCTCTAGCTAAAATAGATGCTAGCTAAACTAGAAAGCTTACATAAGACCCAAAGTCTTAGACCGTGATACCAAAATTGTCAATGTTTAAAGTGAAAATCACTCACTATACTAAGAATTAGGAAGATCTCAAATTGAAAGCTCAAAACTCAGTGAAGACAATTAATAGATGCCAACCCCAAGCTGATGGACATATAGAATGATAAACATTTTAGAGAATTTCTTATAGGAATGCCTCAATGAAGAATTACAAACATTATAACATTATAAATTTTAAAAATTACAAAGCATAAACAAAGAAGCAGAAAGCCTCAGGAATGCAATAGGAAAGATAAAGAACTCCCACTCAATGGAAGTTTAGGAGTGGAAAGTACAATGACCAAAATAAGAAACTCAATGAAGAAACGTAAGGACAGCATGGAAGGACTGAGAGAAGAATCTGGTAATCGGCAGGAAGAACAATAGAAATCACCCCATCTGAACAACAGGGAAGAAATAATAATCGAAAGAAACTGTGGACAGAGCCTCAGAGACCTGGAGAAAGAGGAGAAAGAGGGAGAGGCTGAAAGAGCACACCAAGAAATAATGGTTAAAAACTCCGATTTGGCAAAAAACGTGAAGCAACGAATTTAAGAAGCTGAGTGAACCTCAAAGAGGATAAGCCCCTAAAGATGGCTATTTGAAAACACATCAGAGTGAAACTTGAAAACTACAGACAATACAAAAATTTTGAAAGCAGCTTACCTATAGGGGCAACACAATGAGAATGACCACAAACTTCTCACAGAAAGTATACAGGTCAGAAGGAAGTGGATGTTTTCCAAGCGCTGAAAGAAAAGAACTCTCAACTCAGAATCTGATGGCCAGTGAAAGTGTTTTTCAGGAATCAGGAGAAATCAGGGTGTTCTCAAATGAAGAAAAACTAAGATTTTTTTTCAGCAGATCTATTTTTAAAAGAAGGACTAAAGGAACCTCTTCAAGTGAAAAAGCAATGACAGATGAAGGATCTTGGAGCATAGGGAAGAAAGAACATGGTTAGCAAAAATATGGGAGAAAACAATTGACCTCCCTTCTCTTCTTATGTGTAACTGAAAGAAACAAACCTGAAACAAACCAAAAACACATAACACAAACAATGTTTTGAAGAAAGTGTGGAGAGCTTTTTCTTCAGTAAACATTCACATTGAATACAAAATGTGCTTCATATTTTACCCAGCACGAGAATTTCGTCTTCAGAATAACTCTTGGTGAGAAATTCATCCTAAATGGACCATTTCCATTTCTGAAATTTTGTCAGAAGTCTCTTCCTTTCCTGTCTCCTTATTTGCATCATGTCTGATGAAGAGAGCACATCAGATCTCCCCAGAGGTCCATTGCGCTGAGCTCATGGAATTCTCCTACTCTGTTAGCCAAATTCCTGGGAGAGTTCAGTATATGTATTGCATGGTACTGCTTCTTGAAAAATAATTCACACAAATCCTAAATCCTTGCAAGATATTATTTATAAATAAAATAACATTTTTGGTGAATGAGATAGCTTCATTTTATGAAAGAATTGTAAACATTTTAAGGAGTGTTTTATTGTACTTGTTGCACTGGCTTTTCTTCCTCTTTTCTCTTCCATGCTAATATTGAAGGAACTTAATTTAGGTCAAGCATTGAGGCAAATAAAAAATGAGTTAACATTATAGAAGTACTCGATTCCTTTCCTTTCCTTTCAGGATCATTTGAGAATAAGTTGCAATTACATTATCCTTCTTTCTAAATAAATATTTCAGTGTGCATCAGCTAAGAAGCAGGCTCTTATAAACAACCACCATATAATGGCAAGATTGAGGAAAATTACCATCAATGCAATACTATTATCTGAAATAGAGTCACAATTCAGAGATATTTTCTTTCAGAAAATAAAATACTGCTTTTTAAAAAAATGAAATGAAATAGGGTTAATAGGAAGGGAAGTCTTCTAGAATTTTTCGCCTTTCCTTTCTGGAGCTCTTTCCTTTGGATAACCCATTTCTTCTCAGAGACCGGCACCCACATGGTCTCCGCCTCCAGCGGTCAGTGCTGTGGACCATCAGCACTCGGGAAACTTTCCCACGTGCCCTCAGGGCTTTCTAGGGACTGGCTCCGAGTCTTTGCAGCCTGATGGCGGGGAGATGCTGCTGTTGACTTTCTATGATCCCATTTCCCCAGGGCCATGAGTAGTGTTTTCAATGACCTTTAGAAATGTGGACACTTCATGAAGGTCTCCAGGAGCCAGAAGAAGCATTTAAAGAAAAAAGACAGCTGCTGCCCGCTTACCTTATTGTGGTAGCTTTCTGTCTCTCTGCAAGCAAATACGAACAATTTAAAGCTGTTCACAATTCAATGGGTTTTGACCAGATTTGGGAAGCCAATATTTTCAATGGGTTTATCATACTCTCTTATGAAAAAAAAAGCAAATAAAAGCAAGTTACAGCGTAATGTTGATGGAATCAGTTTATCATCATAGATAAAGACAATTTCTGTATGACCATGGACTTGTATGAGCATAAGAAACCAATCAAAGGATATATTCAGTACATCAAATTATTAACATCAGTTACCTTAGAGACGTGAGATCGACTCTTTTTCGCATACCTCTATACTTTCTGGCTTACCCAGAAGATATGTTCTTTTTGTAATAAAAAAATGAAATGAAACAGGTTTTGAAAAGCAAAGTATGCGGAGCAAGCACCCGGACCTCATTTAGTACAAAGCTCCCAAATAGCAGAAGCGGAGGCTATGGGCAGGGTCTCAGCCAAGCGCACTGCCGGACTCGCAGTGACCGACTGCTGAGTGAGTGGACGGATGACGTGGGATCGCCCCTGCTCTGCTCCAAAGAACCGTCCTTTGTATAAGCCCGTTTCTCCTGGAGAAATTGTTTGCATATTCTTCCATGCGAGGACACATTTTGCTGATCTGAGAAGAGATGAAGATCTGGAAGGAAGTGAGATTCTATTTTGGAGAAATAAAACTTGAAAAGGCTTTTTTCAAGGAGTGAAATGAGGCTTTCTAGTTGAATGCCAGGAAAGCCATTGGCACGTGCCCTCTGGGTTTTACATAGCGTTGCCCCCAAGTGCCCTCTGGGTCTTATTACTTCTGGATCTGAAACACCTTCTGGCAGCATCCTCTTTTCTCAAGATCCTCTAAATGCCAGGCTGCGCCCCAGGGCACCGTCCCAAACTGTTAAAACACAGATGGTTACAGCAGCCGTCCTTTGTGTGTGTCGCTTTATAACCCAGACTCCGGCAAATCAGCTGCATTTTTCCACCCAATTGTTTGACTCTTCTGGTGCACACAGCAGGGTCTGTGGAACACAGCTCTCCCCCCAAGGAAACCCTTCGTCACTGGTTTCAATCGGCCTTTAAAAGGGCCTTGTTTCTGTCTGAAGTTCAGTCTTGGAGGCATCTGACTTGAATTTTCTTTGAGCAGCAGTTACATTAAATGGAAACGATTTTTCTCCTCTCTCCTTTCCTCATTCTAAACTGTGCTGGCCCTCGGCTTCTAGCTGTAACGGTGCCTGGAGGTCAGCTCCTCAGAGGACCTCACACAACGGACTGGGTCGTGTGGCCCTTCCAGAAGAGTATACAGCTGGGCCGACCTCCAGAGCACGGAGTGGTCAGTGTGTGAACCCTGCAGCCCCTCCCTCTTGGGGCAGCCCCGTCGTTGACTTAGGCCACTTGCGTCTCGGAAAGGGAAACTGGAAGCCAAACACTTCTTTTTACCTTCTCAAAGGCTTGAACCCCTTCTTGGAAAATCTGCAGGATCCTTACACGTTCTCAGATATTCTCCTTTGTGTCTGACCGCGGTGAAATGATACAGACTCGGTGGAAAAATCTGGGCTGAGCTGGCAGACAGTTGGGGGCGTGGAACCACGTGACTGGAGGGGGTGCAGTGAAAGCCCTTTCAACTTGGCCACGCCAACTGCCCTGAGCCTCCATGAAGACTGGCTCAGCTGCATCCCCTGTTAACCTAGCATTCCACGTGGGACATGAGTACCGTCTCGTAATTAGATGGTGAGCATCGTGATGGACTGGACACAATGCCAGAGAATGGGTGGCATCAACAGGGCCTGGACCCAGCAGGTTTAGTGTGTGGGGCTTGAGAAACCTCAAGTCTAGTTTTTTTAAAATCACTTCTTTGATACAAGATCTCAGGAAAGTCCTGCAGCCCTGGCCCACCTCCACCTCATTCACAGTCAAGGGCAAGCACTGTGAAGAGTGAAACAATCACAACCATAGGGATGGGAAAAATGATCCTCTAATGATCAGACATTAAAGCGCAGTGTAAGGAAAGTAACTTTACCTCATGTACTTTTAATGCATTTCATAAACCACACAGCAATTTACTGGGACACGGATTTAACACACCACACGAGTGGCAAGATAAGAATTACCGAGTTGAATGTGGGTTCACTAAATATGCTGGAACCCTTTTATGGTGTCGACTCTGAGGAATGGGGCTAACACCCTCTTTATGGGTGCGTGGAGAGGGCTTGTGCTTTCACTGTACATAGTTGTTCTGTTTCAAGGGACATGATTTCACTGGTAGCTTTGCCAAATTTTTGCAATAACAAGGTTCTACTGTATTTCTATTTTAGCACCACAATATCATGCACTGAAGGTTACTTGAAAAAAAAAACCTCATAAAAAAAGAATGAATTTCAACCAACCCCAGGTGACTCGGGATTTCGGTTATAATCCAGCATGAAGACTACATCTGCTCTTTGCTTCTCCTCATCTGCAGTGTTCGTCATCTTACGTAGATGTTGCTGCTCAGGAGCTCATTCCCCAAGAGCTGTCAGTGGAATCTACTCAGTTAACTTTGTGTGAGGAGATACTGCCTTGATGTCTTTGTAGTGTGTGTGTGTGTGTGTGTGTGTGTGTGTGTGTGTGTATTAGAGAGAGAAAGAGAGAATTGGGAGGCATTGGTAATATTTTCTGATACTTTACAAATTTAAAGTCAAATTCCCTGGACGGCACAAGCATCTCCCTCTTTTATCCATTTAAGACAGATCATCGAGAGATTGCTCTATGTGATCATCATGTATTTCTCAAAATGAAACTATTGAGGACAGGGGTAATCCATCCGTACCCTGTGAAGACCACAGCGTGTGTGGAGAACATGTCCAGACCTTGAGATAACAGCGGGGGATAAGCCGTGTACACAGGCATCGCATCTTTGGGAAGACACGTGAACCTCCTGGAAAGATGATGGACATGGGAAGAACTCTGTTGTTGAAAAGGGAATCATACCTTGGGAGAGTGAAATTAGTGTGGGGCGCCAAATCCTGAACTATCCATAGCTTCCTGATTTTACCTTTGATGATATTGGTGACTCCCTAACCAAAAAGGAGTGGAAGAGCAAAGCAGCCAGTCAGCCCTTCAAACTATTCGTCTACATTAAGTTAAACAGCAGGATGTCTGATCGAATTCTTTGCCTGGGGAACGCCGGGAGAGAAGTCTGTTTAACTAGAAGTGACTGATGCGGTGAGCTTACACCAACATGTTAACATTCAAGCAATTGTACACCGGAGTTCATCACACCAGTAATCCCAGTTCTATCTTATAAACCAGCTTGCCCCTGGACGTTGGGCTATGTGGACTCTCTCCTTTTGGCGACCCAAAGGAGTATGTAAGCACTAAGAACAGCCTCGGCCTGGACCCGCTGGCTTTGAAAAGGGCTGCCCGAGCCAGCCCTCCACCTGTGGGGAAAACCAGCCTGGACTCTCTCTCTCGTTCGGCTCAGAGGGGGTCAAACTGTCAGTCGACGGCATGCTTTGTTCTTATTTTTCTGGCCAGCTGCCTTGGTGCTGCGGCTGATACTGCCGTGGCCGTCTTCACGTAGGCTGGGTAAGAGGCTCACAAACAATCACCTCCCTTTCCACCTCCTTGGTCAAACGATGGCTCGGTCTCCCACAGGAGCAGCGCCTTGGAACCCAGCGGACAGGGAAGTGGATGAATAGCTGTTAAAAAAAGAAGAGTACATTTTAATGGAAAAATGAGGTATTTTCCATTGTGGTGAAGTCTCTTTTTTCAATCATAAAACTGCTCAAAAGAGGAAGCAAAAAGAGGAACCTGTGTTCATTTGTTTTAACTTGAGTTCGTAAAATGAGTTCTTGAGAAAGCTGGTAGCTATCTATTTCGAAGAATGATGACTTCTCCTTGACATCTGAATCTTGCATCTGGTTCAGAATATAATGATCTTCCGTAGTGATCTGCATTTGTAAATATGACTACAGATCAACAACTAGTCATCCTGTTGGCAGCTCCACATGCCAACATATGGAGAGGGAGAGAGGGGAGGGAGAGGGGAGAGAGAGGGAGAGAAGGGGGAGAATGTTTGCATATTTCAACTATTCAAATTATAAGATCAGAGACTTAAGAGTAAGATGAGACCTTTCCTATTGTGCACAGTCGCCTGATACTAGCAGTGCGTTGTGCTAGCGAGTGCGCAGGTATTGTCAAACATGGCGTCTCTCCACAAGCCCTGTAGTCCGGACTTGCGTGTGGATGCCCACGCTGCAGCGCAGCCCTGGAGCAAAGGCAGAACCAGACTTGTTATTCCGAGAGACGCTCCATGTTCCTAGTACTCCCTAGTTGGGGAACTACTTTGACTGCAGATTACTAATCACAACTTGTCCACGGAGAGCCAAGCTTTGGGCTACAAAACGTGGAAAACCCACTGCACAGAAGCCACCTACAACGTCCACCTGTCAGCTGGCCACTGGCAATCGGAGGGAAAGAGAAAAGCAGGCAGATGTGGTTGCTAAGCCGTTGGAGTTACGGTACCAACAAGACTTCGAGGGAGGTAAGTAGTAGGGGTGTGGGGTGTTACGTTCTCTCTGAAGTTCTGTTCGGAGCCCGCCCGGACCTGGCGGGACACTTTCTCACTGGGCTAACTGCGGGACAGTGGCCGTGACAGTGTCAACAACAGCAGCACGCACAGCAGCCGCTTGGAAAGTGGGCCCCTTCCTTCTGCACCTGAACCTTAGCTGCCTGGCAGATTTCACCCTCTTTCCCTTTTCCCCAAGCAGCGTCTTCCCTGAGTGTGGCTCTAGGGAGAGGGGGGCCGAGGCTTTCCGGCTTGCTTGTGGGAAGGAAGCTGAGTGGGGCGCTTCTTTCAAGAGCAGGGATGACTTCAAGTGGTGTTAGGAATCCACTCATGAGTTGCTTCTCCCTGAGGGTAGTTCTCCAAGTTCCTGTGTAAAGAACTTTGCAAGGGGAGGGGGTGCGATTCATTCGCTCACGGAAGATCAGGTGACTCTAAAGTTGAGCTTGTCACGCGATAAGTAACATAGACGGAGCTTTCTGTGTGCAACGCTCTTGGTCACCATCTCATTCAACCCCAACAGCAGCGCTTCAGCAAGTATTGTTCCCCGCAAGAGTGTAAGCAGGTGAGGGCAGGGACTTCGGTTCACTGGTGGACGCTGAGCACTCAGCAAGTTTGCGTTTTAAGTTCTTTGACAAATATTATGCTGCCAGAGGAAGAAACCGAGGTTCAGTGAGAGTGAATACTCTGAGAAGCTCACCCAGCTGGATAACGGCAGAGCAGGGAATCACGCCTAGTACTCTGTGGGGGCTTTATGCTGGGGGTGGGGGGGGGGTGGCGCTGCATGTCCCAGAGTCCCCGTTCCTGTGGCCCCTGGTTGAGGCTGGGCACAAGGGATGTTTGCATGGGATTTGGGATGCAGGATGAAGCGGCAGCGTTTGTGCTGGAAGGGCAGGCTTCCCCAGCTCCCAGCTGATCTCTAGCAGGTTCTCTGAGTCCCGGGCCAGCACCCTCATGCAGCTTTGTGGCGAAGGGTGCCAGTGCTTCTGCAGGTTACCTGGACTGTCGAGGTTCAAGGCCAGGGGAGCCAGGGACAGGGTCTAGGTTGTTCTTCATCTCCCTGCTTCAGGTCCAGCTTATCTCCCCAATTGCTGACTCTGCTGACCTGCAGCTACTGCAGGGTCACTAACAAAGGCAGAGGCATAGACTCGCAAAGATTCTTCATCAGCTCCCACAATGATGGCTGGTCTAATCCCCATAACAGACCCTTTACTACACATGTGGGGGTTCTGCTTTTCCCATCAAACCTTAGCTGTTACCTCCTGTCAGATCCCAACCTATCTAGAACCCTATGATCACTAGGACAGCCAGAGGGTGAAGGGATAGCTGGTTCCAGTGGGGTTCGAACCATCTGGCTCTGAGAAACTAAGGACTTCTTAACCAGATGCTCAGAGAACACAGGTGAGGGGCACATTCAGTGCAAAACAGAAAATGAAGATGTCATTTCGGTGTTTTTATTTAGCCTGACAGAACGCAGAGCCAGTTTTCATGGCCAATTCCATTGTTCAGATGGGCTAAGAGTAAGCTGATGAAAACATATTGCAGTGGCCATTTGTGGGGGACATAAAATTATCCTTTCTCCTGATTCCTCAATCAGTGCTTTTACATATCTTAGTCACAGGCTTCATTTACATGCCGATGAACCGCGTGGAAAGCGAAAGTGTTCTCTGTTCTTACCTCCACGAAGCATCAGGGCGGGGGAGGGGGGGTGGTGCTTTTCCACGCTTCGTTCATTCGGTGCCGCAGAGATTCCAGCATCAACATGGGCCTCTTTCCCCTTATTATTATTTTCAAAGCGCTATTCCACTTTTCCAGCGTGCTTTTTCTGGAAAACAATCCGGCGAGGCGCTAGCAGCTCAGACGCAATGCGGAAATCTTGGCTGCAGGAAGCACTGGCTGCAGGAAGCACTGAGCCTAACCAAGCAGCGCTTCGAGCCCCAGCGGCCGCCGTTCCGAGGTTCACCCTTGGCCATTGTGCACGTTCCCCTGCAGCCCGCTCACACACTATGGGCCCCGGGACTTTCCAGGGTTTCTCTGCCTTCTGCTTTTGGGGTAATATTGGTTTGACCAGCAGAAGAGCAGCATTAGAAAGACCCAATTTTCTTACAAGGGCAGCAGGAGAGACTTTATACAACCCATCGTGATACTTAACTTGCAGGAGCCTTCTCTGGCTCCTCAGCCCCCGACTCCCTGTGTCTCTGCCCTCTGCCCCTTCAGCGTTACATCGTCTGTCTCGTGTGAGAAACCATACCTGTAATTGGCCCTCCCTTGTTCTACATGGATCAGGTAATAGGCAAGAGGCCCTGTTAAACATGCGCTTCATCTGAACAAGTAATTGTTGGTATAATAAGTACATTCCAAATTTTGCATGGTTCATACTCATCCTAAGAAGAAAATGTATTGCAGAGCTGAAGTTTAAATTTAACCAGGCATTCTGCATTTTATTTGCTAAATCTGGCAACCTCGGTGTGGATGCGCCCTGCCCCCCACATCCCCCACGACCCCCCACTTTCCAAATCCTGCCACAGGAAGCCCAGCTCTGGACAGCTGATGGGATTTTCCTTGATGAGTGTGTTTGCCTTCTAGCCTTTGCCTATGTTTCTTAGTGCCACCACCCAAACACAACGTTAGTAGGGCATTTGATATGAACCTTGTTGTTTTTTTTATAACTGCTCTGGTGGCAGAGCTGGAGAGTTGGAAACAGACTCCAAGCAGCACCAGCCTTCGGACACGCAGTGCTTGCTCACGGACGTCACACGCAGCGTGAACGCTCTCGGGGTCACACAGCTCTCCTTCTGCTCCTTTCCTCTTGTGCTCAGAGTTGGCCAGTCCTTTTCTCTTACGGCAGCAGTGGTCTTCTCTGCTCCAGGCTGAACTGGGCCAACGATTTGTGCGTGCTGATTTCGCTACCCAGAAACGGCGGGCTCACCAGACCACGAAGGCATCCCTGAACTGGAGTGTAGGTTCTTTATATTTCCCAAAGGATCAACATTTTATTTTTTCGATCATGTAAATGCTTTTCAATGATAGTTGACATACAATATCATATTAGTTTCAGGTGTCTGCCTCAGTGGTTAGTCATGATAACTTATGAAGTAGTCATTCTGATAAATCTCATACCCGTCTGGAGTATAGATTCTTATGACCCAGTCACGCAATATCAACAGAGAGAGGCTCACGAGTAGCTTGCAAAGTCATGCTGCAGGGGAGGAGAAAGGCTTTTTGAAATCAGTTGGAAAATAACATTTATCAGGCTTTTCCAGATTCTAAAACTACCGTGTTCATTGTAGGAAAAAATGCAGACAGACAGGAGTGCAAAGAACAAAACTTTAAAAAGTCATTCATGTACCTGACACCTACTGTTAATATTTTTGGTGTGTATTTTAAATAGTATTTCCATATATATATATATATATATATAAAACTATACATATATTATATGTATAGTTTGTATATGTATATGTATATGTATAGAACTGTACATATATCTCAAACTGTGTATGTAGTTTGAAAACAGTGGC